TCCCATATAACCCCAGTTGGCTGGAATTCACTATAGACCAGGCTGGCCTTCAACTCACAGAGATCCATCTGCTTCTGCCTCCCGAGTGCTGGGAGACTAAATTTTACTATGCTAGAAGATCATCCATCTACCCAATGCAGTCAACAGAAGTCATGAACATTCTATTACACTTTTTATTTATTTATTTATTTATTTATTTATTTATTTATTTATTTATTTATTTATTATTTATTTATTTAGTCTGTAGGGGGATGTGGCATGCTACTTCACATGTGTAGAAGTCAGATGACAACTTGTAGGAGTTGGTTCTCACCTTTTACCATGTGAGTCCTATGGACTGAACTCAGATTGTCAGACTTGGCAGCAGGTGCCTTTACCTACTGAACCATCTTGACAGCTATGTGACTAAGTTTTTAACAGCATCAAAAAATTTTAAGTAAATGAACTTTTTAAATAGGCTATCCTACATATGGTAGGTCTATAGTAGGCTGTATCATTCAGGTTTGTATAAGTTCACCCTGTGTTGTTGACAGAATGGCAAATTTAGTGCATTTCTCAAAATAAATCCTCATTAAATGAAGCATGACTGTACTTCCATTCTCCTTGTTTTTGTGCTGGTGTTAGAGTTGCTTATCAATATTTTATTTCTACATATGATCATTCCATACTACATTGTTATTTTGGTTAGCCAATCAGTTAATTGCTTTATCAAAATATAATTCAGGACTGGGCATGTTAAGAGCGCTTTCCTATAAATTCAACTCAGTGTTAGAGTATCTTCCTAGCATATGCAGGGTCTTGGGGTCCATCCCCGGCACTATCACCAGAAAGAAAGAGAGAAAGATATAATTCACATGCCCAAACCTTCTAAGATATGCAAATAAGTGATTTTAATATATTCACAAGGATATGCAACTGCTACTGAGGACATTTCATTACAAGCAAAGAAACCCCTTAGTCATTACCAGCCACTCCTGTTTTCCTCTTCCTCACCCGTGGCTACCCCTATTTACTTTCTGTCTCTGGTTTTGTCTGTTTTGGTCATTTCATGTAGATGTAATAATGTGGCCCCTTATGTCTGGCTTCTTTCATAAGCTGAAAGTTTAGGTTTTTGAGATGTTTCTTTTTAAATTTTTTTTTTTTTGTCTTTTTTGAGACAGGGTCTCCCTGTAGCCCCAGCTGTCCTGGAACTCACTGTGTAGACCAGGCCGGCCTTGAACTCACAGTGATCCACCTGCCTGTGCCTCCCGAGTGCTGGGATTAAAGGCCTGCACCACCATGCCCGGCAAAATATTATTTAATATTTATAGCTATAATTTTTCTTTAAGCCCTGGCTTAGCTGTATCTCATAAATTTTGATACGCCATGTTTTTCTTTCCATTCATTTCAAAGTGTTTCCTAGTTATCCCTAGTAATTATTCTATAATCCACTTCCTATTTGGGGGAGGTTTAAGTTACCGTATGTTTGTGAACTTCCAACCTTTTTATATTATTAATTCCTAATTCAACCTTGTGGTCATAGATAATGGTTTTTATGAATTCACTTCTTTGAATTTATTGAAACTTGTTTTGTGGCCTAACGTATGGTCTTATTTTGAGAAGAATGTGTATCTGACTGGGGTTGGGTGGCACATTCTATAAACCTCTGTCAGGTGCCCTTGATTTGTAGTATTGTTCTAGTGTAGCCCTGTTGACCTCTTTCTGCTTCTACAACTACAGCAACTTTGTGTGTATATGTGTGTTCATGTGTGTATATGTGTGAGAATGAACATATTTGTACAAGTGTGTATGTATGCATGTATATGGAAGCCTGAGATCAACTTTGAGTGTCTTTCCTTAGGTGCTATCTACCTTGGGTAGTGTAAAAAACATACTTTTGGGGCAGAGATGGCTCAGCGGTTAAGAACACTGTTCTTGCAGAAGACCCAGGTTCGAATCCCAGCACCCACGTGGCAGCTAACAACTGTCTATAACTCCAGTTCCAGGGGATCCGACAGCCTCTTCTGTCCTCTGTGGGCATTGCATGACATGGGTGCAGTTACCTACATGCAGGCATAACACTCATACACATAAAATAAAAATAAAAAAATATTTTAAAAAACATACTTTCTTGATGCCATGATAAAATAATTCTTCAATATACCAGAGAATAAAAACACCTCTCAGCCAGGCATGGTGGTGCACATGTTTTTAATCTCAGCACTCAGGAGGCAGAGGCAGGCAGATCTCTGAGATTGAGGCCAGCCTGGTCTATATAGCAAGTTGGTCTTAATGCCACCTAGAGCTACACTGAGACTCTATCTCAAAAAAGAAAAACAATAGCAACAAGACAACAACAACAATGAAAAAGCCTTTTAGATTCTTTTCAAATCGAATATTTTATCTTAAAAATTCTTTCATTGATTTGAGAATTTTATACAAAGTACTTTGATCATATTCAGACCCATTCCCCACCTCTACCTCCATCCCCCCCACCCCTGACTTCATGTCCTCTATTATTATTTCACTTTCTTTTAAGGCATATCAGGTCTAATCTCTATATCCCAAATGCTCTTGGTTATAGGTTTATCCCATATAGTCTTGTCAACCTCCCAGGCAGCACACCAGTAAGGAAAACTAACTCTCCCTCTCCCTCCTCTTCCACTGATCCTGAGCCTTGGGAGGAGAGAACATGATACAGGTGTCACATTTAGGGCTGAGCACTCCTTGGTCTCTTTTGCTGCACATTGACCAGTTGTGGGTCTCTGTGTTACTCACCATCTGCTGGTAAAATAACCTTTTCTGGTGAGAGTTGAGAGATGTACTAATCTATGGACATAATAAATCATTTAGGAGTTGGTTTAATACTATGTCTATTTAGCAGAATAATAGTAGTAGGTTCTCCCCTCTGGCTTGTGAGCTGTCTAGCCACAGGTTCTTGGCCCTAATAAGAGTATCAGGTATGGACTCTTTATCTTGTGAAGTGGGCCTTAAATCCAATGAGAAGGTGGTTGGTTACCCCCATAGTGTTTATGCTACTATTGTACCAGTGGGCACATTTGAATATTTTATTTTTTTATGTCAGGTGATAGTTATATATTTAATTGTATTTCCAACAGAGGCAAGTAGAGGTTAGGTTCCAGTAAAGATTGTACTATCTAGAGTAACACTGGAAATTGGAGTTCATGTTTCATCATCTCATGTTTTTTAAAAAAATTGTTCAGACTGGGCGTGGTAGCATATGCCTTTAGTCCTAGCACTTGGGAGGCAGAGGCAGGCAGATCTCTGGGAAATCGAGGCCAGCCTGGTCTACCTAGTGAGATCTAGGCTAGTTGGAGCTACAGAGAGACCGTCTCAAAAAAAAAAAACAAAACCTCAAAAACCAAAAAATTAATTTTGTTCTCTTTTAAACTCAGTCTCATAAACTTTGAATTAAGCAAAAATTACTATCCATCTACATAAAGTTGTGGTTTGATTTGACAGTTCCTTTCAAATTATGTTTTCCCACAAATATGAGTTTGGCAGAGAATCATTTTGTGTTTTGCTGATGTTTTATTTTCCTTCCCTTTCTCCCTCCTTGCATTCTTTCCCTCTCTTCCTGCTTTTCCTTCCCCCATCTCTTTTTCTCTTTTTACCCCCTCCCTCTTTCTGTCTCTCATCCCTCTCCCTTCCCCTCTCATTTTTTGACAGGATCTTATGTAGCCTAGGCTGGCCTTGAACTTACTATATAGCCAAAGATGACCTTGAACTTCTGATTCTCCTATCTCTACATCCTCAGTGGTTTATGTGGTGCTGGAGATTGAACCCAAGGCCTTGTTCACAGACAAGTACTCTACCAACTGAGTTACATCCCTAGCCCTCTTTACTTTTAATTTTGAGATAGGGTTTTACTAAGTTGTTCAGGCAGACCTTGAACTTGTGATCCTTCTGCCTAAGTCTCTTGAATGGTTGGGATTATAGGTCTGTATCACTAAGCCTGGTTGATGTTTTATTCCATATCATTTATTATAACCAAAGTTAAATTGTTTTATATACTACTTTTTCCTTTTTAGCATATTGACTTTCATGTCTTAATTCTTTTCTGACAGAGTTATTTGAATTCTTTTACATTTTTTTTCCCATTTCTTTTAAAGTAGAAAGACTTTGCTACTGAGTCTGTTGTTACTGTAATCCCAGCACTGAGGAGGTTGAGGCAGGAGGATCACAAGCTAGAGACCAGCCTGGGATACATAGGGAGACCTTGTCTTTTAAAGCAAGCAGGCAAACAAATACACACTGCTTTGTTGACCGCTTTGAATAGTGTTTGTTCTTCCTTCCTCCTTAGTTCATCTTAAGTGACTTTCTGGCTTACTGAGTTGAATGTATTCGATTCTTTCCCAGTTCTCACTGGCTCATCTATTCCTCTTGGAATGTTTATTCCTTTCTAGTCCCTTATGTTTGTGCTATTGTCTTCCTCCTATGTGTGAGGATTGTTTAAAATATCTTACAAAATGCTTGGTTAGTGGTCATGAATTGCTTCAGTTTTTGCTATCATGGAAATTATTTCTCTATTGATTTTAAAAAGGTAATTGCTGAATATTGAATTTGGGTTGGCAGATTATTACACACTTCCTTGACTTTTATTAGAGATTTTGCTGAGAGCTCTGATATAACTCTTAGGAGTTTGCTTTTGTAACTAAGTTGACATTTTTCTCTGTCAACTTTCAATGTTATTCCTTTAGCATGCAATCTTAGCATTTGAACTATAAAGTGGTGTGGATAGATTCTTTTTCTGGTCATATTTTCTGCATTTCTCCTGTAGTTGGGTGTCCATATTTCCCTAGAGTTGAAGGTTTTGGGGGCAGTAATTCTATTGAATAGGTTTTCTGTGCCTTTGGTTTGCATCTTATTTTCCTCTTCTACCATGAATTCTTAGGTTTGTTCTCTTGATCATGTTGTAGAATTAGTGAAGGTTGTGGTCTTGCTTATGTGCTTCTTTGTATTGCTGTCTGAATTTTCTCTCAACTTTGTCTTCAGTCCCTGATATTCTTTGTCCTGTTGATCTTGTCTGCTAATGATTCTTTCCACTGTATTTGATTTATTGAGCTTTTCAGTTCCTACATTTTGGTTCTTTTCCAGAATTTCTATTTCTTTGCTTATATGCTTATACATTATTGTATTATCATTATAACTTTTCATCCATGTTTCTTGTCAGGCCCTAAGATGATTGCATTCTTCATTCTGCATGTTTTAATCCTTTTAAAAGTCATTGATCATTTAAAAAAAATCTATACTTTTGAATTCTTTGATATTTCATCCATTTCAGATCTTCGTGTTCAATGTTTGAATAGTTGTGAATTTTTGTAAGAGTTATAGTCTATCTTGTCTTTTCTTATTTCTTTGTTTTTCTATGTTGTACATTTTGTATCTGTTGGGTTTTATCAGGTATTTTACCCCATTCTTTTTTATTTATGGGGGTCTTAGTGGATAGACTTCTGGCTTTATGATAACCAATAGAGAACTTTTTAAAATACATTAAATAGTCCAAATCTACAAGGCATGAAGGAAGAGGACAAATCATGTAGTACCTTATCCCCATTTTCAGAAATTTAAGTTTGGAAGCTGTTTTCTTTATTTAGTATCCCTTACCAACAGCCATATTTTAATTTGGTCAGTCAATAACTTACAGAGTTTAAGTAGTATATCAAGAAAATGCCAAATTGTTGAACTTAAACTTTCTTCTTCCTAATTTCCAAATAAAGTTAGTATATTTGAGCTAAATGCCAGATTTTTTTCTTTTAACTTATTTTTTATTTTATGTGTATGAGTGTTTTACCTGCATGTATGTAAGTGCATCTGTGTCATGCAACACCCATGGAGGCCAGAAGAGGGAATCAGATCACCTGAAACTGAAGTTATGGATGGTTGTTAGCCACCATGTGAATGCTGGAAACTGAACCTGGGTCCTCTGCAAGAGCAGCCATTGCTCTTAACCACTGAGCCATCTCTCCAGCCCCCCAAAAACATTTTTCTTGATATTGAGTATAAAATGCCATTCATATTTACATTATAGTTTGAAATTTTAAAATGACTCTTGGGATAAAGAATTAAAAAAGAATCAGAGAGAGAGATAGAAAGAGAAAATGAAAATATCTTATTATCCTCTTTCTTGATTTTGTTTTAGGGTGATGAAGAAACATTTGAAAATTATTACCGAAAGCAAAGAAAGAAACAAGCAAGACTGGTATTACAGCCCCAGTCAAGTATGGTAAGTATGTGAAATTTTCGAATTAGTTATGTTGTTACTTTTTATCTCGTATCTTGCTTTAATTTTTTTCAGAGCATGTATTACTGTTCATTTAATGATAAATATTTATTGAACACCTACCATTTCTAATAATTGATTTAGGTCCTGAGGGTACAGCCATGAGCAAAGCTGATGAGTCCTTTCTCTGAAGAGTTTACATTTTATTAGGAAAGATAGTAAATTAAAAACAGGTAATCCTATAAACTGTCAGAGAGTGATAATTTGTTTCTGACAATATGGCAAACTATGCACCATGATTCTTTATCCCACTGAACAAAATAACAAAAGACACTGAATATACTTTAGTTTTAGATTTTTCTTAAATGTACTGAGGATGTGGCAGAAAGTTATAATTAGGCCAAAAAAGAGTGAAGAATTGTTTTATATGTTAGCCATGTGACAGTTACATGACTTAAATGAGTGAAAACTCATAGAAACTGTACATGAAAAAATGAATTTTATTGTATCTTCACTTACACCTCAGTGTACCCAACTATAACTTAAGTGAAAGCAAAAACCTAGATAGACAGGTAGCTTTTATCAAAAAGGATCTATGGAATGGGAAAGCATGAGTTTTGAGTGATGGAGGGTCCAGCCTATAGCATTTAATGTAGACGTCCAGTAAGAGATCATCTTTCTTGTAAACGATGAGGCTTCTCAAAGGATTTAAAGCCTCATTATTGTGATGATACAGAACTATCTAAAACCTCTCTCAACTAATGACAAATAAACCAGCTTTAAAAATAGACAGTTTTGATACACAGATGGTATTCAAACACATGGAAAAGATATTCAGTTTAAGTTTTCATCAGGGAAATATAAATAAAGAAACCAGTCAGTTACTGACACATATTTATAGAATGACTTACATTAAAAGGACTGACAATACCAAGGGCTGGTAAGGATATAGAATTCAGCACCTGGAATTCCCTTAATCTTCTGGTGAGTATAAAAATTATACTGTGAGCTGGGCGTGGTGGCACACGCCTTTAATCCCAGCACTCAGGAGGCAGAGGCAGGTAGATCTCTGTGAGTTCGAGGCCAGCCTGGTCTCCATAGTGAATCCAGGCTAGCTAGGGCTACAGGGAGACCCTGTCTTAAAAAGACAAAAAAAAAAATTATACTGTGACTAGAAAATGCTTTGGTAGTTTGTAATAATGAATTCTCATACAACTCCCCTAGTTATTCATTCATGAGAAATAAAAATTATCTTTACATAATGGCTCATTTGTCAGTATTTATAACAGCTTAATTCCTAAATACCCCAAACTAGAACTATCCTCAATGTCCGTGAACTCATTAATAGACAAATTATGACACATCATTATGAATCAGTAAGTCACTGTACTTGCATATGTGGAACTTTATCTTATAAACCAAGTATTCAGCAATGAAAAGGAACCGATACATGCAAGTATATGGATACATTTTAAAAGCATTATTCTAAGTGAAAACATTTAATGAAATATGTACAGTGTGGTTTATATTATTTGAAATTTTTTGAAAAGGCAAAAGTATAGGACAAAATGAGGTCAGCAGTGGCCAAAAAGTCCATGGCTCAGGCAGAGTAGTTCACTACATGGAGATATGAAGGACCTTTATAAGATATATCTAGAGATATGTCCATATGCTTTGTGCTTTGATTTTGCTCGTAATGACACAACTGCATACTTTTTTCAGAGCTCAGTGTTAGAGTATTTGCTGGCATACATGAGTCCTGAGTTCAGTCCGGAGCAACAGACAAACACACACACACACACACACACACACACACACACACACACACAAAAAAAAAGGTAAAAATAAATAGACCCTAAAAGTACTTAGAAAAAGTTTTTTTAAAGTAACATAACAATAGAAAGCTCTCAGTTGGTCTCAGATTCTGTATCTAGTGAGAGAAGAACAAATAGACATTTGTCAATAAGGAAAACTGGTTTTGCCACCAAAACAGCTTCACTAAACAAATTTTAAAGGAAAAGGCAAAAGGACTACAATACCAAATAGAAGGTGGAGATGCCAGAAGGAGTAAATACAGAGTGTGTACTTGTGTAGAAGAGTGTATACTGATTATAGTAAATTGTCAGTGTGTAAGATATTATGGACTTTACATAAGATAAGATTAAAATATGCCCTAATAACACAGCATTGGAATGAAATGGACATTCATGCAAGTTACCTGTTCTGCAGTGATTGAATTGTCTAGAAGAGTAAAAGCATTGACTAAAGTTAGAATGATGACTTAGGATGTGCAATGCAACTTTTAGAGTTACTTCCAAAAGAATAGAAGCTATTTAATAGAAGTGAAAAAAAACTAGAGTAATAAAGTAAAATGAGTGTGTCTTAGAGTTGCTAAAAATGATCATTGTAAACCTACAAATGTGATAACATTGACTGAAAGTATACAAAACAAAATAGCCATAGCTATAAGGAGAAATGGAAAATCTACAAGCATAGTGGATTTTAAAATGTCTTGATATCTTATAAACCAAGGAGATTCCAGCAAGAATATCAAATATGCTTAATAGGCTTGATTTAATGGAATATAGAGATTTCTGTTTCAACAGTTGAAGAAACATGCTTTATTCAAGCATATATGAAATGCTTTAGAATTTTTTATTATAGATTAAGTTGTACAGTAAATATCAGGAAATACAAAAAAAGGTATTGTGTAAAGAGTACATTTTATTTTTGCAGTGTTAGGAATAGAACCTAGTTCCTCGCAAATGTTAGGCAAGTACTCTATCACTGAATGACACCTCCATCCCTTTACATTTAAAATCTTGTATTTAAACAATTTTTATTACGTTTATCTATTTATTCATGTATGTATGTGTGTGTATATGAGGAGGTCAGAGGACAATTTGGGGGACTTGGTTTTCTCCACCATGTAGTTCCTAGGGATCAGACTCAGGTTATTAGACTTGGTGGCAAGCACCTTTACCCACTGAGCCATCTCATCAGCTCTTACTGTCTAATTTTTTTTGAGGAGGGGGTCTTTTTGAGACAGGGTTTCTCTGTAGCGCCAGGTGTCCTGGAACTCACTGTAGATCAGGCTGGCCTTGAATTCACAGAGGTCCTCCCGAGTGCTGGGATTAAAGGCATGTTTTGTGTATTTTTAATTGAATTTTTGTGTATTTCATACAGAACATCGTAATCATCTTTATATCCCCTTCCCCATTGGCCCTCCTCCCCTAGACCCCCCCACTTCCCGGAATTCATGCATTCTATCATTTGTATTAGGGCCTATTGAGTCAAGTTAGTGTCCCCAGTCATCCCTCAGTGCAAGTTCATCCACTGAGGTCTAGAGGTGGAGGCCAGAGAACAACCTTGGCTGTTGTTCCTCGGGTACTATCCACATTGTTTTTATTTTAATTTCATTTTATTTTTTTAAATTTATTATTTTATGTGTATACGTGTATTGCCTGCATGTAGGTAAGTGCACCTGTGTTGTGCAATGCCCGCAGAGGTCAGAAGAGGCTGTCGGATCCCCTGGGACTGGAATTATGGACAGTTGTTAGCTGCCATGTGGGTGCTGGGATTCAAACTCGGGTCTTTTGCAAGAACAACCAGTGTTCTTAACCACTGAGCCATTTCTCCAGCCCTCATTAAATTTTTTTAGATAGACTCTGTCATTGGCTTGGAGCTTGCCAAACTAATGAGGCTTGCTAGCTGGTCAGTGAGCCCTAGGGACCACCTGTCTGTCCCCCCCTAGCACTGGGATTATAGGCATGTGCTGCCATACCTGGATTTTTTTTTTTTTAGTTTTTTGTTTTATTTTTATTATATGTCCATGTGTGTGTGTGTGTGTCTGTAGGTAAGTGCACATGGCTGCAGGTGCCCATGGAGACCTGAAAAGGGCATTGGATTCCCTGGGGCTGGAGTTACAGCCCCTCAGTGTGGGTTCTAGAAACTAAACTTATATCTTCTGCTTCTGCAAGAGCTGTACATGCTCTTAACTGCTGAGTCATCTCTCTAGGCCTCAATACCTTTCTTTTTTTGAGACTGGGTCTTACTATGTAGCTCCAACTGGCCTGGAACTCAGTATGTAGACCATTCCAGGCTGGCCTTGATCTCACAAAGATCTACCCGCCTCTGCGTTTCCAACTTGTGGGATTAAAGGTGTGTGCTACCATGTCCAGCCTAGCACCTAGCTTTTTATGTGAGGGTTCTGGGGGGTTGAACTCAGGTCCTTATGCACTTTACTGACTGAAATATCATATCCCCAGCCCATTTTTTCTCTTTTTCCATTTGAGTAAGTGAGAAAGTGCATGTGTATGTATATGCATGCTTGTGTGTGTATATGCATGCTTTGGCATGTGTGTGGACTCATGTGGTTGTGCATACACATGTACACATACATGTGGAAGCTCAAGATTGATAATTGGAAATTTTCCTCAGTAAGTCTTCTACTTTAGTCCTTGAGGCAGGGTCTCTTAAACAAAGAGCTTCCTGATATGGCTTGACTTGCTAGCCAACTTGCTCTGGCTGGGATCACAGGTGGGCTGCCATGTTCCCCAGCATTTAAGTTAGTTCTGGGGAGCCAAACTCCAGTCCTCACACTTGTTTGGCAAGACTTTAGTCAAGTCACCTCCCTAGCCCCACCCCAGCACATTTTTAAGGTGTTTAAATTTTGTTATGAATGATACAGAAGTGTTATGAATGGTATTAAAGGTTTTTGTTAGAAGATATAATGTTCTCATAGCTATTTGAAAAATATCACATGCCAGGAGTGGTAGTGCACACCTTTAATCCCAGCACTCAGAAGGCAGAGGCAGGTGAATCTCTGTGAGCTCTAGGCCAGTCAGGTCTACATAGTGAGTTCCAGCTGGGGCTACAGGTAGACCCTATCTAAAAAAAAAAAGATTACGTGATATCTGTTTTTGAATAGAACATCAGGGACTAGCCAAAAAAGAAGGAGAAAGATCATATGATATATATTTGAATCGATTATCATCATTGGGAGAAAGGAAGGGAGGGAGGGAGGGAGGGAGGGAGGGAGGAAGGAAGGAAAGAAAGAAAAGAAAGAAAGATCACATGATATCTTTCTTTGAATAGATCATCAGGGGAAAGAAATAAAGAGAAAGAAAGAAAAATAAATCACATGGTATCTCTATTTGAATAGATCATTGGGGGCAAACCTAGAAGCTGAGAGACTCATAGGAGGGGGGTGTCTTGTTAGCTCAAATGAAAGATCATGGTGGCTAACTAGTCAGCTGAGAAGTAGGTTCTGAAACCATATTTACTTTTTAACTTGTTTGTTGTCTGTCTCCTTTGAATGTACATTTCGTGAGGACTGGCAGGATGGCTCAGTGCTTGATGTGCAAGCCTGGCGATCTGAGTTTGATTCCTGGAAGCTAAGAAAAGGTGGAAGGAGAAATGGACTCTACAAAGTTGTCCTCTGACCTCTGTGCATGTCCTGTCATCCCATTATACACTCACACACAATAGTAATAATAATAATTTGAATGTGCATTTCATGAGAATTAGAGCTTTTTGTTATTTTCAGATATACCCCTGGTACCTAAATAGTAAGCAGCATATAGTAGGTTGTCAATAAATATTTATTAATCAAGTTGCAGTGACTTGGAACTTTTATGTTATTGGTATTTATTGTTTTAAATTGATTTTTATTTTTCATTTTAAGCATGAAACTGTTGATGGCTATAGAAGATATTTCACTCAAATTGTAGGGTATGTATCTAATATGGAAGTAACTGTTACTAATTTTGTTAAATGTCAGAAATGTTTTCTACTTGTGCTTTCCTTTTTAAAAACAACACATGCTATGTTGGTAATTACTGTTTTAGATTTTTTGTGGTGGAAGATCACATTTTACATGTGACCCAAGGATTAGTAACCAGAGCATACACTGATGAACTTTGGAACATGGCGCTCTCAAAGATAATTGCTGTCCTTAGAGCTCATTCAGTAAGTAAGACTATTTATCTTAATGGTTATAATTTAATTTGCACTACATAAAGCCAAAGGAAAACTGTACCTTTCATTCTGTATTTTTTGATAATTGCTCAGATTTGGAAATAGTAATGTCAAGCTTCTGTCTGGTTTCATCAGGCTACAGTTTTGTAGCTGACTGGGGCTTCCCAAGACACTTTTATTTGAGCATTATAGAAAATGAAGAATTAGACTGGTCTTACTAGTCTCAACTGACCCCTTCATTAGATCCCTGAGAAACACCACAGAGAAAGGGTTTCTAATTATTCCAGATTCTTTGTATCTAAAATCAACTCCACCATTACATCTCAGTCAAACTTGTTTGAGAAGCTTGTAATTTTAAAAATCTGCACTTTCCAAAATTCGAACTCATTTGAAATAATAAATTTTTATGCAATCAGAGATTTTTTTATGGGTTAAAGTTAAATGACCAAATGTTTTCTTAATGCCTTCTATGGAAATAACTAACATGTTAATGTTAGAAGGATTCTGAAAGTTAGTAATTGGTCAGTGTATACTTTCTTCAAGACAATTTTAAGTAAAAATATCCTCATTTAAAAAATTTTGTAGTCTGTTATTGTAATTGGTAATTAAGATTCAAAAATAGGTTGGGACTGGAGAGATGGCTCAGTGGTTAAGAGCATTGGCTGCTCTTGTACAATACCTGGGTTTGATTCCCAGTACCCACATGGTAGCTAACTACTATCTGTAACTCCATTTCTGGGGGAATCTGACACCCTCTTCTGACCTCCGTGGGCACTGCACTACATGGGTGCACTTACATGCATGCAGACAATGCACTTATGTACATAAAATAAAAGTAATAAATAAATATTTAAAAGATTTAAACTATATTAAAGGAGGATTTTTATGATATTTAGATTATAAATATACTACATTTATATTTATCAAGATTCTTGAGGTATTGGTAAATAAAACTTTTCGAGTATTTTAGTAAATACAATTTTTGGCATGCTCAACCTCAGACTCAGTGCCTCATGCACACTAGGAACTGCTCTGCTGCTTAGCTCATCCCCTGGCCAAGAACAATACAGTCTATCATGGCTTATATTGAAATCAGCTCTAAGAGTATCAAATTATGCCATCATTCCTATCAATTCCATGAGAGTAAATATAAATTGTAACATACTAAATGTAAAATATTAAATTCAAAATCTTATTAAATGCAGTTAAAGATAGTGAATTTCACTGTTCCTTTAAAAGTATTAATTTTGTTTGGTTAATTACTTGTAAATACTTCAGTTGTCATTCTTACATTTAAATGTAATAAATTATGTCTTTTGTAAGATAGAGAATAAACAAATAATGGGAAGTGAAAATGCATGGTCTATGTAGGAACCATTGTTTCAGTTTCCTATAACTAGCTCCTCAAAAGTCTAAAGACTATATGACTATAAATACTTTGGTTTCTTTCATGTAATTAAATTTATTAGATATGTCATATTGATCTCTTCCTAAGCACTTAAATACTGAATAGGCGAAATCAGCTTTGGATCTAATTAACCAAGATAGTAATTTTATTCTTAGTCTTCCAGATTAAAGGGAAAAGTTTCAGGTTCTTATTTCTCAGTTTTTAATTCAACACTCTCTCATTTTTGTTGTTTTGTTGTTTCTGCTCTCCTTCCTCTCAGTCTTACTGCAGTGATCCGGATCTTGTTCTGGAATTGAAGAATCTCATCGTAATTTTTGCAGATACTTTGCAGGTCGGTGATAACCTCACATTCAGTTGGTAGTTATTTTGAGTATGTAAAGACATAAAATATAGACCAACCTCACATTCAGTTGGTAGTTATTTTGAGTATGTAAAGACATAAAATATAGACCATGATCTTTTCTTATAGTGTAGATTAACGGTAGCAAATCAGTAGTCAGAAATGTTTACATATTGGTATTTTCCTACACAGAACTGTGCCTACCACTTCCTTTGCAGGTTTGAAACTTGGGCAGAGCTCAGAAAATACTATCACCTTTTAAAATATGGGCCATTTCAGTTAGAATAAGTAAAGTATTTTTGCAGTTGAATATAGGAGGCCAGACCTGGAGGTGTGTATCTATAATCTCTGTTTTCAGAGGCTGTGGCAGGAGGATATTGAGTTTGAGGCTAGCCTAGGCTGCTCAGCTAGACCTGGGGGGTAAGGGTGGAGTGATTAACAAAAAAGAAATCTGAGACTGGTGAGATGGCTCAGCAGATAAAGGCACCTGCTGCCAAATCTGACAACCTGAGTTCCATTTCCTGGAACACATGCTAGAAGGGGAGAACTGGCTACCAGCAGTTGTCCTCTGACCTCTATTTGCTTGCCCTTACCACAAATATACAGATAAATAAATAAATGTAATAAAAATTAAACAGGAAATTTTTATTAAAAAATGATTCTGAAATGTCGAGTGAAATAAAATATATTTCTCCACCAAAACCTTTCTCAAAGCAAATTAATACCATAGATTTCCAAAAGGGCCATGACTATGCAGTATTTCCCTAGTATGTTTGACCTTTGATCTTTTTTCTCCTTTTAGAACATCTCTTAAATCTGTAACTTCATAAAATATGCTTTGGAAAATGCTGATTTGATCTATTTGCTTTATTATAAGGTCTTTGCATCTTAAAGCAATAGTTGTTTATTTTATTCTTAAAGGAAAATATTTCATAAACTAATAAATTATTTTATTTCCTTTTATCTTTATTAATTTGTGTGGCCTGTTTGTTTTGTTTGAGTTTTGGTTTATTTGAGGCAGGGTCTCCCTGTTGCCCTAGCTGGCCCAGACCACTGTTCAGATCAGGGTGGCCTCAATCTCACAGAGATCTGCCTGCTTTTACATCTTGAGTGCTGGAATTTAAGGCATGCACCACATGCTTGACTGTGGTGCTGTTCGATAGCACTAGGGTAATGTGGGATTTTTTTTGTTGTTATATTTTTTCTGTAAATTTTGTGATACATCATCTAGATACTGATCTCTTGGCATTAATAACTTTTATTTGGGACCCCTTTAATTTTAGGGGCTCATTTATAAGTAACCTGAGGAAGTTTTGTTGTCTTTAATGAGTCAAAGTAGTATGTTTGGGATATGGTGTAGGGACCACTTGTTCTGTAAACTGTTGTTACTTAGTCTGTAAATTGTTAGGTCCATAAGATAAAGTGACTGTTTCACTAAAAGTAAAGTTTAACTTAGTTGGTAGCCTCTTGATGATATGCAAGACTTATTCCATTCTGGGTAGGAGCATTGGCTTATAGTGTAATGTAAACTCTTACTCCTTTGTAAGATCATTGCAAACAGTTCTGGGACTAACGTTTTGAGAACAACTGATCTAGAGTATTTGATATGATTCCAAGGAACTCTGCAAAGAACAAGTAAGAGTTAAAAACAGCATTTAAGTAATGGAGACATTGGAAAAGCCACAGTGTTGGTTATGTAAACCCTTGCAAGTATACCTTCTTGCTTTTCTTTTCTTTCCTTTCCCATCCTCCCTCTTCCCTGCTTGCTCACTTTCCTTCCTTTTCTTTTTCTTTTAGATAGGATCTTGATTTGTAGCTCAGGCTGGCCTCAAACTATTGTTTTTCCTGCCTCCATCTCTTCAGTGCTGGATTACAGATGTATCTCACTATGCCAGGTCCATTCTGATCTTACTGCTTTGAAATAAGATGGAAGAAAATGCTAGTCTTTTTTTTTTTTTCTTCAGTTATTCAGAAATTCTGCAGTATTTTCCTTTTTTTTAGAAACTTGAGGAACTGTTACTTTAAGAAAGATAAATTATTTTATACATTTTAAAATTTATTCTTTGGTAATTTCATACATGAGTATAATGTATTACTTCACCCTTTCCAACTCCTCCCAGACCCCCCCATCCTCCTCCCAACTTCACATCCTCTTCCTTCTTCTTCTCCTCATTCTCTTGAAAAGAAAATCAATGTTTTATAACTTAAGACAAAGCTGAAAAAATAGTACAAAATAATAACAAGTAACACTAGCATATTTATAGTTCTGTTTACAGCTTGTCAAGTCAAAAGTATTTGTTGTTTTATTCTTTAACACTTTTTGAGCACCTATTACCCACTAGAAGTTAATTGATATATTAAATGGTACAAACATAAAAATCAGTGAAGAAAGCAGGGAAATAAAATTCATGACTTCAAGAAACTAACAGTTAAAAGGCATCATAGTATACACTGAATTAGAGAGCCTTATGCTCACAAAAGATAGAATGTCTAGTTTTGATTTGATTTCAGAAGTTGGGGAAGGATCTCCACAAGGTTGAATTGTGAGTTGGAGTTTGAAGAATGAACTCAGAAAGGAGATAAGGAGAAAACTTTATTAAAGAGAAAGTAGCATGCATGCACTATGGACAGATATGTGGTGTGGTGGATATGGGAATGGCTGAGCACCTTGTTGGTGTGGGAAACTGGTTTATATGAATATGAACAAAGAAGCTCAAATAGTAGTGATAAAACTTATAAGGTAGTTTGATTTAGATTATGGCAGGTCTTTGGCCAGTGAGATGGCTCATTGTTAAGGGTGCTTGCCAGCAAACCTGATGAACTCAGTTCTGTCTTTGGGACTCGCATGGTCAAAGGACAAAACCAACTCCCACAAGTTGTCCTCTGACCTCCATACATGTGCGTACACACACACACACACACACACACACACACACACACACACACACACAAATGTAATAAAAAAGATTATAGAAAGTCTTGTGGGGATTTACTAAACCTTTTGTAGCTTGTAACAGGGACATTATGATCAGATTTATACTTGTGAGTGGTCATTTTGAGAGTGGACAATCTAGTCCATTGAAAGAAACAGGTGATTGTAATTTTAGTTTAGGAAACTCTTACAGTGGTCTGGGCAAAAGGTGTTAAGGACTTAAAGCAAAATAAAATAAAGCTCTGGGAATATTTATAGAAGGAAGAAGGATGGATGATGGTAAGAGATGATGGAGAAGAATGATAGATTCCAAAGAATTTTATAAAAGAGGGAAATGAGCCAGGAGTGGTGGTGCATGCCTTTAGTCCCAGTACTTGGGAGGCAGAGGCAGGTGGATCTTTTATGAGTTCGAGGCCAGCCTGGTCTCCATAGTGAATCCAGGCCAGCTGTGGCTTTTCCAGACGGCAGGCTCTTTTATCCTCCATCCTCTACCTCAATTTTATTATTATTTTTCCTTAGTTTTCTTAGAAATAGAGTCTTGGGCTGGAGAGCTGGCTTGGCAGTCAGGAGCACTGGCTGCTTTTGCAAAGTTCAGTTCCCAGCACCCACATGGCAGCTAACAACCGTTTATAACTCCAGTTCCAGGGGATCTGATGCCCTCACCTGGCCTCTACACACAATACATGTGATGCACTTACAAATATGCAGGTAAAATACTCATACACAAATATAAGTAAGTGGATAAATATTTTTGTGAGTTATTAAATGTCCATAGGGGAATTTAGATGATTTTTAATTTTTTTGATTAACTGTTGATGACAGAACTATTATCTAGATAGAAAATAGGAGAAATAGGTGGTGTAATTGGAAAGGAAGGAAATCAGTTAACTTTAATGTGTTTGCTGGCAAACTGAGTAAAGATGTTTAACAGGTGTTGAATTTAATTGTTTTGAATTTAGAGAGGTCTAGCTAGAGATACAGATTCAAAAATGCCCATAAAAGTAGTGGTTAAAGTCATTAGACTTAATATTACTCTAGAGAGTTATGAGATTGAAGGATGGAGGTAGAAGCTAAGCAGGAATGTGGAAAGATTGTTCATAGATGTCAAAGGATAAGGAGAATGGATAGTTCTTCATAATTCAAAGCAAAGAGTGTTAAGACAGGCCAAGTAGAGTGAGACCACTGCATTCTGTATTTAGGAGGTAACATGGGGCATTGTTGGACAGCTTAAAGGAACAGGATTGGGAAGTTATTTTATATTATAGTAGGTATGGCCGTGAGAGGAATGTTGCAGGGAAATAGCTTGTCAGCCCTAGAGAGTGAAAGAGGGATTTTTTTTTTTTGTCTCTTAATCTTGATTTAAAGATGGAGACAGTAGCATGTTTAACCAAGGCCTAGGAACTGGTAGAGGTTAAAGATATAATTAGGTGATTAGATCATCCATGAATAGATCCTATGGAAAGAGATAGAATTAAGAAGAAAAATTACAGCTGGTTTGGTGGTGCATGCCTTTAATCCTAGCACTTGGGAGGCAGAGGCAGGAGGATCTCTGTGTGACCCTAATGTGGAATGCCTAATTGGCATTGGAAAATAATAGTTTAGGGGGTATTTGCTAGAAAGATATATATTTTCATTTGAGGACAAAGTCTTAGATTCAAGGCACAAAAGGAAGCCAGTGTGTTTTAGGTAAAAATTTTTTTACTTTTAGTTTTAAAAATTTATGTTTCCCTCCTTTTAAAAGCACATTGGTCCACTACAAGATGCATGTACAGAAATTACCTCCGTGTCTACCATGCTCATTTGTGTTGCTTCACACTGAGTTTCAAATCAGCCATTTGTTTTGAGAGGAAGGGGAAGTTTTATTTCAGTTTCTGTAAATTCAGGTAAAGAGTTGCTTTGTTTGGGGCATTGAGCTCAAGTAGAAAAGACCTTGAATGTTCTTGTAGAAGACCCAGGTTTGAATCCTAGCACCCACATAGCAGCGCAGGGGGGCATGATGGTACACACCTTTAATTCCAGCACTTGCCTTTAATCCCAAGCACAGGCAGGTGAATCTCTGTGAGCTCAAGGCCAGCCTGGTCTACATAGGGAGTTCCAGGTCAGCTGGGGCTACAGAGAAACCCTATCTCAAGCCCTTCACCTCACCCCTCCCCTGTGAAAAGAAGTCTTCACATCACCAGTCACATTTCCCTTCATTTATGGGAAACAGTAAGGGTGGACAGTGCATCCCCTGCAGTGACTTCAACTTCTTTGACACAATCCCTACTGGCCTATTGAATTTATCACTGTACTGTATGTGTTGTCAAGTGTGAAACAATAATGTGTAGATTATGAAAAATGGAAGGCTGCGGATCATTTTGCATGAATAATGTCCATAGGGCTAATGAAACTGACATGTTTTTAGCTGTTTTGGGTAAATGAAAATTAAAACGGCAAACTACCTCACCATTTACTAGCTTTGTGCAATACTATAAACGCAGAAGCAAAACACTAGTTCACTGTGCTTGGCTTTAAGGATGGCTCTTCTACCATTACATCAAATGGATATTGTGAGCAGTGTACTGTAAATGCTATTTCTTGCAAATTTATAGTACTCGAATATGCTCAATTAACATTCTAAAGTATTAAAATATAAGAAAAATACTAAGCAAACATTTATAGCAACACTATGAAATCTCCAATAATTGGTTTTTTATTGAATTTTTTGTATATTTCATACAGAACTTCTCAAACAATCTTAATCATCTTTATACCCTCGGTCCCCACTGGCACCCTCCCACAACCCTCCTTCCTCCCCACTGGAGCCCATGTACTCTGTCATCCCTGTTAAGGCCCATTGGGTTGTCATTGCTTTGACTATTGCCTTTTGCTCTTTAGTTCAACTTTTCTGCATTGTAATTATTGTATTGGTTTGTATTTCATGTTTTTACACTAATGACTTTAGAGTTACATACTTAAATACATGAAGTATTGCAATCACTTTTCTCTTATTGTACATGCAATGTAACAACACAATTTTGGTGCTTAATTCCTTTTTTTCTTTAATAAAAGGATTTTTTTGAAAAAATTTTTTTGTTCTTTGAATTTCATACAATGCATTCTCATCCTACCCCCATCTCCTCCCAGGTTCAACTCCCTTCCCTACCTACCCAACTTTGTGCCCTCTGTTTGTTTTTTTAAAAATCCATTGATTCCAATTTGTCCTGTCCATGTGCTCTTGGATGTGTGCCATCCACTGACGCATAGTTGATCTACCAGGGGCCACACTCTTAAAGAAAACGAGTCTTTTCCCAGCACCTATGAGTTGCTAATATCTCCTCAGCTAGAGGTGGGACATCATGCCCACCTCCCATCTCCATGCTAGGATTTTTTCTGCCTTAAGCTTCCACAGATCTTGTACATGTTGTCACAACCACTGTAAGTTCATATGTGCACCTGCCCCGTTGTGTCTGGAAAACACCGTTTCCTTGTTGCCTGCCTCTGGCTCTTATACTCTTTCTGCCGCTTCCTCCTGTGCATTGATCCCTGAGCCTTGGGAGGAGAAGATATGATATAGGTGTTCCTTAAGACAGAGCATTCAGAAGTTTCTTATTCTCTGTACATTGACCAGTTGTGGGTCTCTGTGTTAAATCACTATCTACTGCCAAAAGAAGCTTTTGGTGAGGGTTGAAAGATGCACTAATCTATGGGTATAAGGATAAGTACCCCCTTTTTTTTGTATTCTACTTACATAAGTAGATCACTAACCTCAAACTTTTCCTTTTTTACTCCTAATACTCTGTGTGTGTGTGTGTGTGTTTGCCTGTGTGTAGGTGCATGTGTGTGTGAATGTGTGTGCAAGTATGTGGAGACCAAAAGTTTACATGGGGTGTCTTCTTTGATCACTCTCCACTTTATTTTCTGAAGCAGGGTCTCTTGGTGAACCCAGAGCTCATAGATTCTGGGTAGTGTAGTTAACCAGCTTGCTCTAGGGATTCCCTTTCTCTGCCTCCCAAGTACTGAGATTACAGTTGGCCATCATGCCTGCCTGTTTTTTACATGGGTTGTGGGGATCCAAACTCTGGTCCTTATGTTTGTATGGAGAGTACTTTACCTATTGAACCATTTTCCCAGACCCCCCCCCAATACTTTTCAAGGATGACACTATAATCCTTACTGAAAGAGAAATAAATAGAAAAAATGTTCTGACCCTACAAAAGTCTCTCTAGACCTTTTGCTTAATCAATATAGCAGAAAGTTAAGAGGGCATTTTCCTATCCTTTAGGAATAACATACAGTATGATGTAGTGATTCCTTCCAAATGATTCTTTAGTATTTGCAGCATTTTTGTGAACATTAAAAACACACTTGACTTAACTAATTCTTTTTGTGTGTGTGTCTTAGGGTTATGGTTTTCCAGTCAACCGACTTTTTGACCTTTTATTTGACATAAGAGATCAATACAATGAAACACTGCTTAAGAAATGGGCTGGTATCTTCAGGTGAGTCTAAGCCATGGTTCCTTAGTATAGTGAATGTCAAATAATCATTTGGTTTTACATATAGTAATAAAATGCTGTAATCAATTTCTCTTGTGGTAAAATACACCTGAAATATATCCATTTTAAGGATACAGTCAGTGGCATCAAGTATATTCACACTGCTGTACCCATTCCTACCATTCATCTCCAGAACTTCTTCATCTTCCTAAACAGAAATTCTACCCATTTCACAGTAAGTCTTCATATCTTTCCTCTAGCCCATAGAAAATGCTATTCTATCTTGTCTCTAAGCTTTGACTACTCTAGATAGCTCATGTAAGTGGAATTGTAGATTATTTGTTCTTTTGCATCAGGATGATTTTACTTAGCATGACATCATGGTTCATTTGTGTTGCATCATGTGCCAAAATTTCATTCCCCTTAAGACTAAGTAACATTACATTTTCTGTATATGCCACATTTTGTTTCTTTACTCATTTGTTGATGGACATTTGTTTTTATTGACTGTTATAATAGTGTAAGCATTAGTGTGCCTATATCTTCCTATATCAGGTCCCCTGAAACTGGAGTTACAGGTGCTTGTGAGCTGCCACATGGGTTCTGGGAACCAAACCTGGGTCCTCTGAAAGAGCAGTTAAGTTCTCTTAACTGTTCAGTCATCTCTCCAACCCTGTATCTGAAGATACCAAAGTAAAACTATGTCAGATGATTTAATACAAGCTTAATACTTATTCCAACAGTTTTTAAAACTAGAGGCTAACCATCTGATTCCTGCAATAGAATTTTTTAAAAAATTCTTAAGTGGTTTATAAGGTAACAGACCTAAGTAAAAAAATAATGAAATTCTTATTTGAGCTTATCATAGTAACATTTATTGATTTTATTTATTAATTTTTATTTTCTACAATATTGAGGATTGAAGCCAGGACCTTGCAGATGCTAGGCAAGTGCTCTGCCATGAAGCACATCTCCAAGCTTTTTAAATTAAAAAAATTTTTACATTTATTTATTTGTTTACTTATTTATTTATTATTTATTTATTTATTGTGTGTGTGCGTGTGCGCATGTGTGCGTGTGTGTGTGTGTGTGTGGTTCAGAAGATAACTTGTAGGATTCAGTTCTCTGCTTTCACCTTGTGGTTCCAGGAGATATAACTCAGGCCCTCAGGCTTTGTTGGTCACCTTTATTCACTGAGCTAACTTGCTGGTGCAGGCCTTTTCTGCTTTTAAAACAAGATCTTTGTAAGTTGCCCAGGTTGGCCTCAGACTCACTATATAGCCTAGAGAGGCCTCAAACTTGTCATTGTCCTGCCTCTGTGTCCCAAATTGCTAGAGTTATAGGTGCGCTTAGTGTTGTTTAAGTGGTTCCTTTTTTTGGTTAAGGTCCTCACCCTAATGGGTAATTGAGAATATTTATGTATAATTATTAGCAGCTTTTTATATTAAGTATTTTAAAAAGAGTTGTGTGTATTGATAAGGCACTGATCTCTGACATGTCTTGTACTTTAATGTGTTATATCTTTATAAATATAAAATCTTAGAGTTAATGTTGTGCATTTTAAACCCCCTCCAAAATAATGTTTAAGTTTTCCAAACAGTGATAAATTGTCTTAAGACTTCTAGCAGGGTAGTTGCACCCCAAATCTAGGGGAACTGTGAAGTATTTTTTTCTCACTGGGAAGCTAAAGAGTTTATTCAAATAGAGATAGAATTGGTTTATCATCCATAGTAATTGTGGAGAACAAATGATAACATTTCAGTTGCAATATGTAATATCCCAGAATATTGTAACTTCCGTTTCCAGTACCATCCTTCATGGTTTTGCCTAACATTTTAAGTAGGTCTTAAGCTTTACTTATTCTTGACCTATATCTGCAGATATCTTACAAGTAGTGAATTGGCAGTCTAACAATTAGATGGGAGAAAAAGTAAAACTCTTCACTAGTACTGTTTTATTTACTTTATTTTTGTTTGTTTTTTGAGACAAGATCTAATGACATAACCCTGGATGTCCTGGAACTCACTATATAGACCCAGGGTGGCCTTGAACTCATAGAGTTCACCCACCTGCCTCTGTTTCCCATGTGCTGGGATTAAAGGTGTCTGGCACTGTTTCTGGCTTTGTACAGTTTTTTTTTTTTTTTTTGGTCTTTTTGAGACAGGGTCTCCCTGTAGCCCCATCTGTCCTGGAACTCACTATGTAGACCAGGCTGGCCTTGAACTCAAAGAGATCTGCCTGCCTCTGCCTCTGGAGTGCTGGGATTAAAGGCATGCACCACCACGCCCGGCAAGGCTTTGTACAATTTTTAGTATATCTGTGCTTTTATTTTTAATTGATAAATATGGAGTAATATATTTACAAATATATTTATACCAAATAAATGATATTTTGATATAGTTATGTGTTATAGATAATGAATCAAACAAACATTCATCATTAAAATTTTTTTTCAATTTTTGTGATTTTCATACAATATAGTTTGATGGTATTTAGAACCTCTCCCCATCCTCCCCCTACATCCCCTTGCTCAATTTAATGTTCTTTCTATCTATCTATCTATCTATCTATCTATCTATCTATCTATCTATCTATCTATCAATCTGTCTGTCATCTATCTATCCATCCAATCTTTGTATCTATGTACCATCTCTCTATCATCTATATCATCAGTCATCCATATCTATCTATCTATCTATCTATCTATCTATCTATCTATCTATCATCTCTCTCTATCATCTCTATCTCTATCTCTATCTCTCTCTATCTCTCTCTATCTCTATCTCTATCTCCATATAATACAGCCTATATAGAGTCTGATTTGTGTCCCCAAATGTCCTTCAGTGTGGGTCTATGCACTGGACCCACCAAGAGTCCCATCCCTGTATGACAGTGTCTTCCCCCTCTGTGTCCCCCCCCAGCAGCTATTAGTTGTCAAAAGCTCCTTAGGTTGGGTTGGTATTTCTTACCCTCTTCCCCATGTCTATGCTGGGATTTTGTCTAGTTTGAGCTTGCACAGGACTTGTGCATGCTGTCACCATTGCTGTGAGTTCATGTGAGTAACTGACCAGCTTTCTGGAAGACTCTGTTTCCTTGTAGTCATCCACCCATTCTGTCTCTTTCTGCCTCCTCTTCTACATATCTATTATTTCACATGGTTTTTTATTTTAAACATATTATTTTATTGGTTTATTTTCTGGATTATTGAAAAAAAGCAAGAAAATTGTTAGTTTTATGTTGGTTTTATAGTTCAAAAGCTGTCTTTATGTGACCTCTTTATCACGATATCATACATCACATAGAACTTTGAAGGAGAAGAAATATACATTGAATAGAGTTTAATTTATAGCAGAGTCCTATGGAAGAATTGTAGCATTATTCTGTCTTTCCCCTGGGTGATTATCTGCTCACTGTGATTAAGCAGTTTCACTTTTAAAAAAATATTTGTGTATGTGTATGTATGTGGATGTACATGTGCCACAGCACATGTGTAGAGGTCAGAGGACAACTTCTGGGAGTCAGTTGTCACCCTCCACCATATGGATCCTGGAGATTGAATTCAGGTTATCAGTCTTGGAGGCAAGTGCTGAGCCATCTTTCTGGCCCCAAGTTTCATTTTTTAATGTGTCACTACTAAATCACTAAGTTAGGGAGCAAATTGATAAATTATCTCATACTCATTTTTTTCAGTGCAAAATACTTAAAATCTCTCTTGCCAATTTTGAGAAAAACATATTAACTATAATTACCTTGCTATGTGACAGTTCTCAAAACCTAATGTCTCCTATTTGATACACGTTAGCCAGTGTTTCCCCTTGTCCCTTAACTACCAGCCTGTTAACTACCACCCTACCCCCTACTTCTGAGTTTGACTTTTTTAGATTTTGTTGTAGGCACTATTTGTTTTCTATGCCTGACTTATTTCATTTAGCACAGTGTCATCAAGGTTCATCTATGTTGTTGCAAATGATAGAATTTTCTTAATTTTTAAGGCTGAATAGACCATTGTGTACATATAACATATTTTTTTCCATTCTCCATTGATAGAAACAAAAGCTGACTCCATATCTTGGCTGTTAGGAATAGTGTTGCAATGAACATGGGAATTCAGATGTCTTATGAACATAACTGACTTTATTTCCTTTGGACGTATACAACATAATGGGATTGCTGGCTCATATGGTAGCTATCTTCAGCTTTCTTCATACTGTTCCTTCTTCATCCTGTTTTCTATAGAGAGGAAATCCTTTCTTTACATCCTTGCCAACACTTACCTTATTTTTTTGTTTTTTGTTTTTTTGAAACAGTGTCTCACCATGTAGCCCTGGGTGGCATGGAAGTGGCTATGTAGACCAAGCTGGCCTCGCCTGCCTCTACCTCCCAAGTGCCACCACATTCAGCCTTACCTTATTTATTTATTTATTTATTTATTATTTATTTATTTTTATGATAGTTATTATAATAGGTTTGAGATGTGTTTTAAACTTACATTATCTGTGGTGATTAGCGATGTTGAGCCATTTTGTGTATTTGAGAAATAGCTATTTAGGTAGATCTTTGCTTATTTTTTAAAATTTTATTTATTATTTTTATTTTATGTGTATGTGTGTATTACCTGCATGTAGGTAAGTGCACCCGTGTCATGCAATGCCTGTGGAGGTAAGAAGAGGCTGTTGGATCCCCTGGGACTGGAGTTATGGACAGTTGTTAGCTGCCATGTGGGTTTGAACCGGGGTCTTCTGCAAGAACAGCCGTTGTTCTCAACCGCTGAGCCATCTCTTCAGCCCAATCCTTGCTTATTTTTAATCTGATGATTTACTTTCTTGCTGTTGAGTTGTTTGAATTTCTTATATATTTTTATGTTACTCCTTTATCAGATATATCAAACGTAGGTTAGCAAATATTTTCTCCCAACCTGTAAATTTTCTTTTTGTTATTTGTGTTGTTCTGTACAGACGCTTTTAATGTGATACAATCAGACATTGGCCAGTGTTGTGGGGCTATTTCATGTTCGTGATTACCTAGTTCTAATATAGTGTCTGTACATAATAGGAACTCATTGTGCATTCATAGGCTTTGGTTTGATAAACAGAGCATTTAAGACCATATTAATATTTTCAGAATATAAATGTGTCATTCATTAAATTACATCTTTTGCATAGTAAGAGATTCCCTGGCATTTGTATACAGGTCAATTTTAGGGTCTTCTAATAGTTTTTTATTTCCTTAAGACTTACCTTTTAATCTTTTATTTTTCAATTTTTATTTATTTTAATTTTATGCATATGAGTGTTTTGCCTGCATGTATGTAGGTGCACCCATGTCGTGCAATGCCCATAGAGACTAGAAGAAGGTATCAGATCCCCTAGAATTGGAGTTAGGACAGTTGTTAGCTGCCATGTGGGTTCTGGAAACTGAAATCAGGTCTTCTGAAAGAGCAGCCAGTGCTCTTAACCCCTGAGCCATCTCTCCAGCCCTGGTTTTTTGTAAACACTATTTAAAGTAAAGTAAAATAATAGAAACTTCTGTTTATTTTAAGTGAACAGAGCCTTTTTTTTTTAATTTTGTGTGACACTGTGGTTTAAACCCATGTCTTTTTTTGTAGCCCTTCATCAAGACCTAAGAACACATTTTACTGGCTAGATACCATCCTCTACTATAATCTATCTTTCTCCTGTCTTCCATACCTCAGAAAATACCTTGGATTAGGTGGGGGATACAGTCCCCATTAATTTATCCTGTCTATTTGTTAAAAGCCTTTATTTGTGTTGCTTTCTTTCTGTCTAATCTGCTATAGCTTTCATCTAAGTCCTCCTCACCTCTAAGTATTCCTCAGTCCTTCAAACTAGCTTTTCTGTGTTCAATATTGACCTTTTCTGATTTGTTCTCCAGAGTAAAAATCTTCCTATTGCATTTTTCTTAAAACCTCTTATTACCTATAAAAGAAAATCTTGGTGTTTCAGTTTACCACTTACCCAGCCTCATTTTTCACCATGTCTTTCATAAGCTTTATATTCTGTGCCAATACCATACTAGCTGTGTCTTTCATCTATTTACTATTTATCTATTTACTCACTTATTGTGTGTGTGTGTGTGTGTGTGTGTGTGAATGTGTGTGTGCATGTATGTGTCATGGCTTATATATGGAGGCCACAGGAAAACTTGGAGAAGTCAGTTCTCTTTTTCTAACATGTAGATCTTGGGGATCAAACTCAGCTCATCAGGCTTGGCAGCAGGCACGTTCTCCTGACAGCCCTAGCTATGATTTCATACCCCTGCCACTTACACTTTTTCACCTATTAAGCCTTTGCGCATATGTTCTTTGTGTCAAAAATGCTTTTCTCTGTAATCTCATCAGAAGTCTTTCTTTTCATCTTTGAAGACCCTGCATTGTACATGCCTTCTCTGTAAAGTGTTCCAGTGAAATAGTCCTATAACACCTACTTCGAGAGTTACTTCATCTTCTAGCCTGTTTTGAAATTTGTACTCGTCTACTCTATGTGTAATGCAGCATTATGAACATATTAGTTTGCATATCTTGTCTCTTCTGTTTGGTTCAAGAATAGGGATCTTGTTTTCATCTTCTTGAAGTTGGAAGTTTCATCGAAGTTCAGAGCTTAGTACATAATAAGTATCAGTAAATATTAGTCAAACTGAATTATTAATTAAAAGTAGTTGATGATTGGAAAGGAACTAGTTCAGGACGGGTTATGCTGCAGCAGTAATAGTCTTCCATAACTCAGTGGATGAAGAAAATTTGTTTCTCAGTCACACAGAAACCCTCAGGGGTCTAGTAGTCAGAGATCCCAGCTACTTTCATTTGAATATGTTGTCTCCCTTGTCATCAGGGAAAAAGGTTATTACATACAGTTTGTTCATAAATGCTTTAGACTCAAAGCAACAAATATTGCTTCCATTATAAGCTCAGTGGCTAAAAGCCAGTCATGCATCCCTGCCCAATTGCAAGGGGTCTATGACAAAGAGCAGAGGATAAGAGATGAATGCTAAATCTCTCTGCCTCACTAACTAGAAAGTTTCCTTTTTTTAATCATAACATTCTGAGGTTAAAGAAATTAAACACATTTAAAAAATATTATTTTATGTGTATGAGTGTTTTGCCTACATGTATGTCTGTGTACCATATGTGTGCCTGGTGCCCACAGAGGCTAGAAGAGGGCATCAGATCCCCTGGAACTGGAGTTACAGGCAATTGTGAGCTGCCATGTGAGTGCTGGGAGCTGAACCCAGGTCCTCTGGAAGAGCAGTAGGTGCTCTTAACTGCTGAGCCATTTCTCCACCTCATAACATGTTTTGATCTTCAAGAACTTACTGTTTATTTGGGATTAAGAAGACACAGACAAATATTTTGAAAGTTGTTTCTATAATGTAATTTGATCTGTTTTTCGTGACTGATTACAAGTCTGTACCATCTTGAGAATTGTTCTAGACAGGACAGTTAAAAGTAAAGTTCTAGAGGATGTAAACCTAGTAGAAAGAGGAGACTGGACATGAATTACGAGGTAGAAGACATCTCTGATACTGAATCTTAGAGTTCTGGATGGTTAATGTTTTCATGCTTGGACTTTACTTGACAAAAAAAAGTGCTTTTGTAGGAGCTGGATTTTTTAAGATAATGTCTTATAACACTTATGGTATATTTTGTAATAAGATTTCAATTTTCCTTTTTTTTAACAGGGACATTTTTGAAGAAGATAATTATAGCCCCATCCCTATTGCCAGTGAAGAAGAGTATAAAATGGTCACCAGCAAATTTCCCTTTCAAGATCCAGACCTTGAAAAGGTACAAGGTAGTTTTTAACTTAAGGATTTTTGTAAAACTAAGTTCATTATCTTTATTACTATATAAAATTAACCTGACATTGTAAATTAAGAATGGGGGGCAAGTTTTTGTTGTGTAATTTGAGAAAATTAATTATATTTTAACCTTTAGAGATTATATTATTGTCACTACTACTATTTTGATAAAGTTAACTTGGGGCTTTCCTGGGCGTACTAGAAAGAGTTATTCCAAATGTGAGGTAGATTTCCAGGGCAAGTACTACTTACATTGGGTGCATTACAGTTACATGTACTACATGCTGAGTAGATTGTGGTAGTGAGAATTGTTCTAGAGAGAGAAGAATTTCTTTGAAATATTCATCATTGTAGAAAATCTTATTTCGTGGCTTTAAAGAAGTATCCCAGGCTGGGGAGATGGCTCTGTGGGCAAGGTGCTTACTGCATAAGTATGAGTATCAAGAGTTTGTACCCCTTCACTCATGTAAAAGCCAGAGCTGGATGTTGCCTTGGACATTTGTAACCCCTGTGCTAGAAGGCAAATATACACAGATCTCAGGGGCTCAACTGCATAGCCAGTCTAGCTGAAACTGTGAGCTTCAGGTTCAGTGAAGAGACCTCATCTCAAGAAGTAAGGTAGACAGCAATAGAAGAAAGCACTTGACATTGATCTCTGGCCTCTACACACACGTGCACACACTGCCCCCCATATACAGTGCTTTCTACACTTGATCTTAGCCAAAAGGCTGATTCTTGATACAAAATACTTTCTACAAAAGTTTATTTTGATTAAATAACAGGTATATGAAGGTAGTAGCTACTTGCAGATTTTGTCTAGAAGTAGCAATATGCATTTCAGACTCAAAATAACAAAGGACAGGAAAGACAGAGGAAGTTGACCAGCATATAGGCCATTCTGTAACACACTAGAGTGCACATGTGCATGCTCATATATACACAAACATGCACAGTTGCACATATCCAGTGTCTCTGGGTAGAATCAGATTTCAAGAAAAAAGAATATCATACTTTGAAACAAAGAGACACTCTCAAACAAGGTGGAAGGTGATTAACATCAAGATTGTCTTCGGACTTTCACACACTGTGGTGTACGTTTATCCATACTCAAACACAAACACGCATACACGCACACAGCGCACGCTCTCTCTCTCTCTCTCTCTCTCTCCCTCTCCCTCTCCCCCTCCCCCTCCCCCTCCCTCTTCTTCTTCCTCCTCCTCCTCCTAAGGTTGCTAAACTATTTAAAATAGGTTATTTAAAGGAAGTTTAATTTTGCTTTAGAAAACTTTCAATATATGCAGGATTTCTTAGGATTAAGTTCTTAATTTAGGAATTATGTTCACTGATCACATTTTTACATGAGGAAAAGATGAAATAATTTATTATGAAGCACAGGTTGTTGAAGTATAGGAGGTGAAATTCAAGAAATGCGATGGGGGAGAGGTGGCTAGATGACTTAGCTCTTGCTGCACAAGACTGGTGACCCGAGTTCCATCCCAGGAACTCACATAAAAGTGGAAGGAAAGAACTGAGTCTACAGAGTTGTCCTCTGATGTACACATGTGCTATGGGCATGCATGTGTAGGTCAGAGCATGCTCACAGACTCCATACATAAATATACAATAATAATAAATAAAAATAAATTTTAAAAAGAAATATAATTGGAAGGACTGGGGAGATGGCTTAGTCAATAAAGTACTTGCTGTGCAAGCAGAAGGATCTGAGTTTAGATCCACATAAAAGCTGACCACAGTGGTGCATGTCTTTAATCCCAGTGTTGGGGAGGCAGAGGCAGGCAGATGCCTAGAGCTTGCTGGCCATCCAGTCTAGCTGAATCACTGAATTCCAGGTTCAGGGAGAAACCCCGTCTCAAAAAAATAGAAGGTGGAGTGGGGTGTGGTGCACGTGACTTTAATCCCAGCACTTGGGAGGCAGAGGCAGGTGGGTCTTTGTGAGTTTGAAGCTAACCTGGTCTACATAGCAAGACCCTGTGTCAAAAAATAAAAATAAATAATACATAATAAAGTAGAGAGCAATTGAGGAAGACACCTAATGTTGACCTCTGGCCTCCACACACATACATGCATGCACATACACACACACACACACAGATACACATACCATATATACATACAGAGAGACAGAGACAGAGACAGAGATGTAATTGGAGAAGTAGAAAGGGGCAGACCATAATAGCTCTTGAAAATAATGTTAGTTTGTTTAGCTTTTATAATGAGGACTCTGAGAAGCTAACAAAAGGATTTTAAGTGGTAACAGCAATCAGAGTTTTGCTTTAGGAAAATGAGTCCAGCTAATGTGTGGAGAATTTATTGGAGAAGAATAAGACTGGTGACAAGGAGACCAGCTAGGAGTTTACAGTTGTTCTGGTGAGAGAGGTTGTTGACTTCAGTAGAGGCTATGGTCATAGAACTTGACTTACAGGGTTGTAATAACAGAAATTGGCGGTTTTTTTTGCATGTATGGGATAAGAAAGATAAAGAGGTTAAGTATAATAATCAAGTTTCTACCTTGGATGATAGTAGCATTCACCATGATGGGAAATATGAAAAGGGAAGGTTTAGGGGAAAAAAAGGAAAAAAAGGATAATTTTATTTTGGGACCTATTATGTATGAAATGGTACAGACAAGTGGAGGTGTCCAGTGGGTACTTAGGTATATGGATTTGATTTGATCTAGAGTTGTAGATTTGGAAGTTGGTGGCATTGGCATGGTGGTTGGAGTCACGAGTACCTGAAATCAACTCAGGTAGAGTTTAGTAAGAAGATCTAGGATAAAGCTGAAAGTCCTAGCAGTAATTAAAGGCTGTCTAGAGTAAGAGAAATAGAGCATGCAGAGAAGTAGAAGGAAGCCAGGGTGGGACCAAGATGTCAAGGATGGGCGGGAGAGCCTTTCAGAAGCAGAAGAGGGCTAACTTGTCATATACTTCAAAGAAGTCAGGTAATGTGAAAAGCTCATGCTTAACAACTAGGGAGTCATTGGTGATCTTTGTGAGGGCATGTTCACTAATATAACAAGGTTGCAATAAATATCAAGGTGAAAGTGTATATTGGACTTCATATAGCATAAATGAGAGGCTTTTGGTTAGACTCTTGGAGGAATTTTCCTTTCTTGGAGATTGAGAATTTTCAAGCGAATCCTGGCTGATAAACTACTTCAGCCAAGACACGCATTGTAAACCATTGATCCCATACCAATGTTTTTTGGTAATGTGATCAGAAAACTTTTATAAGATATATTCTGGAGCTTGGGATAAACTGGATGCCATCTTGGATTGGCATCATTCCTTTATTGAAGCTGAGTGAAGGGAGCCTTATTATTATTTTAAAAATGCAGACTGGAGAGATGACTCAGCAGAAAAGAGCATAATCATGAGGACCTGAGTTCAGATCCCCAGCACTCACATAAAAAGCCAGATGTGACTTATGTACACCTGTAACCCCAGTGCTGTGGGAGGCAGAGACAGGAAGATTTCTGGGGCTTGCTGGCCAGCAGCCTGGCTCCAGATTCAGTGAGAGACCCTGTCCCAAGAGATTAAGGGGGAAGAGTGAAAGAGGAGGACACTTGACATCCTCTTCTGGCCTCTGTGTTGGCAGATGTGTTGCTAGTTAGCTAGCTAGCACATCTGCACATGCATGTGTGTATATACCACCCCCACGTACCATATATCAAAAACTGTGTCAGGAAGCTGGTGTATAATTTTCCTGGCTACCCTGACTCTTGTATCATAAACATAAAGAAGGAGACAGCTAAACATCTGCTACATAATGCTTGTATCATCAGAACACAAAAAAAACGTGTGGTCTCTGCTTGACAGAAGTCTGGTAATATGATTTAATCATAGGATTAAATGGCTATGCATTATTTTATTCAGAGATATTCTAGGTTTCATTAAAACATTAAAAAATAGGCCAGGTGTGTCAGCATATGCCTTGGAAGGCAAAGGCAGAAGGATCACAAGGTCAATGCCATGCAGGGCTACCTAGTGGGATCCTGTTTCAAAATAGTTAGCTAGCTAACAAGCTAACTAAATAAAATTTAAAAAATAAAATATAACCATAGAATTTTGTATAGTTATTTATGATTCAAATGTGAAATCATCTTCATTTTTTACCTTTATAAGTGACTAGGATATTGTTTTCTAAAGCATCAAAAACAATATTAACTTTCTCTTTTTACAGCAATCTTTCCCAAAGAAATTTCCCATGTCTCAGTCAGTGCCTCTTATTTATATTCAAGTTAAAGAATTTATTTATGCCAGCCTTAAATTTTCAGAGTCACTACACCGAAGGTAAGCTCTCTAATGTGGAATATTAATCATCTTTTTAAAAAAATATTTTATTTTATTTTTTGTGATGTGATACATGCGTATGTGTGTTTTACCTGCATGCATATAAGTACACCATGTGCATGCAATACCTGTGGAGGACAAAAGAGGGTGTTGGATCCCCTGGAATTGGGGTTACTGACAGTTGTTAGCAGCCATGTGGGTTCTGGGAACTGAACCCAGGTCTGCAAGAACAGCCGATGCTCTTAACTGCTGAGCCATCTCTCCATTCGCAACAACATTTAGGTGTTTTTATAGAATATTAACATTTTATTTTCATACTCTTTAATGGATCATTTCATTAGAAAGGCTTACATATTTTAGTCATATTAAGGCTAGGTTGCTATAAATACATAGTATTTCTTTAACTTTTTGTTATATAAGTCTTTCATAAAATAGAGATTATTCGATAGAAAAGTTCTATATCCTCAGCATCTAGATTTAATAGTAATAAATATGTATTTAAAATATTTTTATTATTTTTTTAAAAGATTTATTATTTTTATTTTACGTTATGAGTTTATTGCCTGCACATATGTAAGTACACCCATTTTGTACAATGCCTGTGGAGGTCAGAAGAGGCTGTCAGATCCCCTGGAACTGGAGTTACGGACAGTTCTTAGCCACCATGTGGGTGCTGGGAATCAAACCCAGGTCCTCTGCAAGAGCAGCCAGTGGTCTTAACCACTGAGCCATCTCTCCAGCCCATTATTATTATTATTATTAATATTTATTTTCTTTTTGGTCTTTTTGAGACAGGGTCTCCCTGTAGCCCCAGCTGTCCTGGAATTCACTATGTAGACCAGGCTGGCCTTGAACTTACAGAGATCTGCTTGCCTCTGCCTCCCAAGTGCTGGGATTAAAGGTGTGTGTCACCACACCTGGCATATTACTATGAATGTATTGCCTGCATGTAAAGTGCACCCATGTCGTGCAATGCCTGAGGAGGTCAGAAAAGGGTGCTGGATCCCCTGAAACTGGAGTTATAGACGGTGGCTACCATGTGGGTGCTGGGAACTAAACCCTGGTTCTCTACAAGAATATCCAGTGCTCTATAACCACAGCCCCAGTAACAAATATTTTCCCATATGTTCTTTGTCTATCTTTTATTAAAACAGTTGAAAGAAAATTTCAGAAACAGTGACCTTTTACCCTTTAGTACTTTGTAGGAATTTCTAAAAAAACAATGAAGACATTTTATTATTTAATGACACTTAACAAAACTAACCTCTTTTCCTATTCAATTTCCTAGTACGTTTCATTTTTCTCAAAAACCACTTTTCTGGTGTATGTTTCTATCAGGGTTCAGACTCCACATTTCACATTCATTGTTACATATGCTTCTCCAATGTCTCCTTTTTATTTATGCCTTTGATTTACTGAAAAGTTGGTATTGTTAATAGTTTTTTTCAGGTAGACTCTGTGTATGTGTGTGTGTGTGTGTGTGTGTGTGTGTGTGTGCGTGTGTGCACGCGCATATGCATGTGGAGGCCAGAAGTTGACATAAGGGTCTTCCTCAGATACTTATTTTGAGGCCAGTTTGCTCACTGAACCTGGGGTTCACCAAATGGCTAGGCTGGCTATTTCTGTCTCTCCAGTGTTGGGATTACAGATAGACTCCATGACAACCAACTTTTATGTGGGTGTTGGAGATCTGAACTCAGGCCCACATGCTTGCATAACAGGCATTTTACTGATTAAATCATCTTTCCAGTCCCCTTTTTTTTCAGATAGAGTTTAATGATTTAGCAAAATCAGTAAAATAAAGACCATTCTAGCAAGTTGGTATCATACTCAGTAGTAGAGACCAGCACAGCTGGTGAAACTGTAGCCAATTTCATTTTATAGGCAAGAAAATACTGTTTATCTGATAACGTAATACCTTGGGTTGGTGGAGATAGGAAATGTGATATTATCTCTGTTTGCTAATAAGGAAACCAGACTCAAAAGGCCAAATCATTTATCTAGGATGACCCAACTAGTTACACTGAGAACTGGGATGAAGAGCAGGTCTTCTGATTCTATGTCAAAATGCCTGGTATAGTGTCTGGCATAAGAAATAATCTGTTAGTGGTAGCAAAAATTAATCTTTGTGCTTTCTAGCTGCCTTGCTTGATCCTGCACAAAAGCCATGTTGTGGATTCTGATGAACTCTCTGAAAGATAAGAGCGGTGATGCTAGCTTTCATAATGCCTTCTTATAGAAATCTTCTGAATTTGAAGCTTTTGAATCTGAATTGATTTGAAGATTTTGAATCTGAATTGATTTCTGAATTTTGAAATCTCCTGAACTGAAGCAGGAAATGTCCTTTCTCAGCGGAAACTGCTGAATTTTAAGTCACAAAAAGGCATGAAGGGAATTCGGATATTAACAATTGTTTATTTCTCAAATGGAAACAATAAGAATAATAACATTTGTAGTTTATTATTTTATTGTATCTGTCTCTTATTGTTAGGTACTGTTATTTTACTTTTAAATAAGACATAAATAAAAAGAATTGTTTATGTTGATAGGGGAAAAGAGTATCTGGCTTAAGTTTTACACTGTTCTATTCTGTTCTGTTCCTTTTTTTTTTTTGGTCTTTTTGAGACATGGTCTCCCTGTAGCCCCAACTGGTGGCCTGGAACTTACTTTGGTACACCAGGTTGGCCTTGAACTCAGAGATCCACCTTCCTCTGGCTCCTGAGTGCTGGGACTAAAGGTGTGCATCACCATGCCCAGCTTGTTCTTTACTTCTGAATGGGGATTTTTAGTAAAATTTTAAAATTTCTGATCATGAATAATATGAATGGGAGAGAAGAGGAAGGCCAATATCTAGCATCTCCTGTGCTGTGTGGTTCCCATAAGCCAGTGTTTCTCAAACTTTAGTCCCCAGAACATCAATTTTAGCATCACAGGAGAAATTTCTAGAATTTCTTTTTTAGACTTACTGAATGAGAAACTCAGGGTGGGACCTAGTATTTTGCTAGTTTCTCTCAGTGGTTTTGATGTGCCCCAAACTTAAAACTACTGCCCAACCCTTCATCATACTCCGTCAGCCATTTATACCAAAGTCTCTAAAGATAGTAGTTTAGATACTAGAAGCAATGTGTTCCCTGAAGTATACAGCATGACACATGCGGCATAATCTAGCTTTTGAAAAACATTGAATACAAATGAGTGTTTACTGAAAAAAAATCACATAAAATGACTCCATTATAAGAATAGGTTTTTAGTAGATTTACCTTGGGCCACAAATGGTTGAGAGCCACCAGTAATTTATGCTTGTCCAATTTTGATTTAACATTCTGTTCTGATCTAAAGCAGAAGCTGTTTAATACAGTGCTTAGGAACCTAGGCTTTAGATTCTGACAGACCTTAGTTACTCAAATTTGATGCCGGTGAGAAAGGTGAAGGGCATTCCTTTCTCCCTCGGGCGCTGGCTAGGTGTTAGGCACTGCTAAAGCACTGTTAAAATCTGTTGAAAAAAGTATTTATTTAGCCAAAGCTGGCCTTGAACTACTGATCATTCAGCTTCTACCTCCCAAGTGTTGGGATCAAAGGTGTGTGCTACCCACACTTTGCTACATTCATGTTCATTTTCCTATAAATAAGCAAAGACATTGGAGATCGGACAAGTTAAGACCCTGATTAGCAGCTGTTGGACACTCCCTTGCTGCCCTGACTGCCTTAAGTAAACCTATTAGTCACATAGACAGCTACACCATTACCCTTATGCCAGCACTGCCTTCTGGAACATTCCATGGATACTTTCAGGAAACTGTAGGATGATTACAGCTGATTGCTCTGGGTTCTGAAGGTGTAGCTTCAGCCAGGGCTATCTGAAAGAATTTATACCAGACTTGTGGTTTCAAAAGCCTTGGTGAATTCTAGATGACCCTTTAGTCATGTCTACCCTGGTCAGGGGGAATACTTCCCTTGATGGTCTAGCAGAGGGACTATGGTGACTGGTGGTAAGAGGCAAGGCTGTTATTGGTCCAGAACAAAAGCCTCAGTGACTGATAAGTGACAGAGCTGTGATTGGCCCAAATAGTGATTGGACCAAACATCCTTTCTTAGGCAGTATAAACTGCTCAGGCTCACTTTGTAAATTGGCTGGGAGATACTTTACTGTGCTACCTTTGAAGCTTGATGTTTCAACACTGGGTCCAATAAAAGACCTCTCTTGAGTGATCTTTTCTTGCCTTCTTTTAGTAGTGTGGAATGAACTGGTAATAGAGCAACAGAGGCAGTAAAACAGTAGTAGGGAAAGCTGAGCAGTGGGCAGGCCAAGCTGTGAAAGTAGCAAGGCAGCTGGCTATTTGACAGTTGAAGAAGCATCTGAACAGTTAGAGCAGCCAGGGAAGGAGAAAGCAGGTGACAGGAGAGAGATTACAAGAGGGTAGAGAGCTGAGGTGAACAAAAGCATAAAGGTTCTAAGAAACTAGAGAAGAGAAACTGAAGGCCTTGGTTGTCATGAGTTCCAGAGAGTTGTCTAGTAATTCTTCAGGACCAAGGGTCTTAGGCCCCAGCTGAGAGCTGGAAATCTGGCACTGCAGGGGCTAAGGGTCCCACTAGCTGAGGCCTGCATGCAGACTGTAAGTGAAGGCCTAAGTGTTCTGAATCCCGAGACCTGCATGAGGACTTTAGTATTAGAGGGTACCACTTGCTGCTGCCTCTGCCTTGCCTACTAGTGCTAGTGCTGCTTGCTGCTGCTGCTGCTGCTAAACACTAAGGAAAACAAAGCTGCACTAGGCTAGCTCTTGAAAAACTTATTGCCTGCTATGACCATGACTTTTTTTTTTTTTAAACGGTGGAGCAAAGGAACCCTCAACCAGTTGATTCATGGTGATGCTAGCATTACTAACCAAAGTAGGACCTTGGACAAATTGTCTCCATAAACGACATTTTTCTCATCTGCAAAATGAAGGGAATAATTTGTAGGGTGGTTCTGAGAATGAAGTGAGGCAATGTGTGTGCATAAAGTCGTCACTATAGTGCCTTGCACACAAGAGGCTCAAAGTGTTTAGGAAAGGATGGGATGCTGGAATATTAGATATAAGGCTAGAGCTTGGAGTGTTTATTATAATTGACTTTCTGAAAGCATTGGGGGAGCTGTTGAGGAGTGTTTAAGGAATGCCATGCTTAGGGTTATACTTTAAAAAGTTTACTCTGGTCTCATTGTGGATGATAGATTGGAGAAGGATGAAAAGAGCTGTTGTGTTGAGGAGCTGAAGGCAGTGGTTCAAGAAAGAGGAATAATGACTGAAATGAGATCAGTGGTTACAAAAAGGAAGAAGCATGCAGTGAGTGTTTAGGATCTGAAATTGGGGTAGGTAATTGGATGAAGAAGTTACAAGATAGAGAACAATTTGACTTATATTTGGTTATACTCGAATCTGTTTATGTCCTTCTAAGTAATAGAGAGTTCAGTTGTTATTAGTCAACTTTGGAAGCATCTTGAATGCATTCTCTTATTTTGCAGTAAACAAATCCAAGTAAAAGGAACAAACAAAAAGCTTGTCCTTGGCACTCATCCTGCAATTGGCTCAAATGAGAATAAGAGTATATTTGAGAATTATTATTATTCATGACACTGACTCTCAAACCTGGCCTTCTACATGCTGAATACACACTCTACCATTGAGTTCTACCCCATCCCTGAGAATTATTCTTGAAGCTACAATCCTGAACATTAACTTCTTCCATTTCTTTCCCTTAATGTTTTCTAAATTAGTATTTACAATTTGAATGTTCTTACAATGACTTCTTATTATCCAAGCTAAATGTTGATTTATGAATTACAGAAACTCATATCGAGTTAAGATATTATTAAACTTGAAGAAAGTATAGAAACTTAGCATTTTGGAATTAACTTTAAAATAAATATTTTATTATTTTCATTTTATGTATATGAATATATTGCCTGCATGTATGTAAATGCACCCATGTCATGCAGTGTCCAAGGAGGTCAGAAGAGTGTGTTGGATCCCCAGGACCTGGAGTTACAGATGGTTGTTAGCCACCCTATGGGTACTGGGAACCGAACCCAGGACCTCTGCAAGAGCAGCCAGTGCTCTTCACTGCTGAGCCATCTCTCCAGTCCCTTTTTATTAACTTTTAATAAAAAGTCCCTTTAAATTAACTTTTATTTAAAGGCTGTTAATTGTAACTTATGTTTAAAATAGTAGTTCTAAAGTAGGGATAAACTGGCTTTCCCTGCTGCCACCCATCCTTCTACATTTGGCAATGACTAGACACAATTTTGGTTGTCACAACTGCGAGGAGGAGTGTGCTACTCAGAACTGGCAGGTAGGAGCCAAAGATGCTGCTGAACATTCCACAGTGTGCAGAACAGTCCTCCAACAAACAGTTATTCAGCTTCAGATGTCAGTAATGCTGAGACTGACCTAATGCCTGCCAGTTTTAATAATGAGACTTTATCTAAGAAAAGATTATTCTCAGGTTGGAGGTCTAGTGCTTAGAAGAAAAGAATGAACTTTTTAGTGCAGCTCAGCAATTTTTAGAATATTAAGAAGTACACACACAGGGTTTGGGGGGTTTCTGTTGTTTTGGGTAACAAATTTAATAGTTTAAGGCAATTATGAAAATCACAGTACAAATGATTAGCTTAGTTTTGTTTAAAATCTAAGTCTGTTAATTAAGCATAACTAGAAAGAGCTCATATGAAATTTATTTTCTGGGTGTTTTCTGTGTGTGTGTGTGTGTGTGTGTGTGTGTGTGTGTGTGTGTGTGTGTGTGTATGTCTGTCTGTCTGTGTCTTTGTCTTTGTCTGTGTGTATGAGTGCCGCCTGGGTACATGCATGTGTGTGGGTATGGGCTATGGATTGAGCATGTTGCCTCACATGTGTCAAGAAAGCACTTTACAACTTAGCTACATCCCTAGTCCTTCAATTTTAAAAGTAATTTTTAACTACTGTTGTGCATGAAGTACCTTACAAAGTGACTAGTCTACAGTGGAGTTATATTTTTGTTTTAAGTATCTCACAGGTTTTCTGTGGTGATTGGATGCATTTAAATTGTCATAAATGAACATTCTGCTTTATGTACATGTCCTCCTTTCTAAGACTTATTTTTATTATATGTATGAGTGTTTTGCCTGCATGTATGTATGTATACCATGTTTGTGCCTGGTGCCCATGGAGGTCAGAAGAGGGCATCAGATCACCTGGCATTGAAGTTACAGATGATTGTGAGCCATCATGGCGGTGCTGGGAACCAATCCTGAGTCTTCTGCAAGAGCAACAAGTTCTCTTAACCCCTGAGCTATCTCTCCAGCCCAAATGTCCGTTCTTTGAAATTAAATTGAAGTTTATGGATTAGGAAGTATGAGTTCAATATAAGATATAGATATATATAAACATGATTTATATATTAGATATAAAAGATGATTTAGAACAAGTTCTCTTAGTAAATTGTATTACATTATTGAGAATGTTAACTAATTATATCCTTAGAAAGCTTAATTACTGTTAATATTTGTTTTTAGTTCCACAGAAATAGATGATATGCTTAGAAAGTCAACTAATCTGCTGCTGACCAGAACTTTGAGTAGCTGTTTACTGAATCTTATTAGAAAACCTCATATAGGTTTGACAGAGGTAAGAAGACACATTGCTAAATATTTTACTATTTGGAAAAAATATTAAATTTTAATATTAATTTAATAAAATTATAAATTGTTATAAATATTATCCTATAAAACTAGCTTTACATTTCAAATTTAATATAAGCAGACTTAAAAAAATAAAAGCATCAATGCCAATTGAAGAAATGTGAGGGAAGAGTTACATGGGGAATAGTAGTTGGAGATGAGGGATAGATTACTGATGCCATACTTTAATGGATAGTCTCAATCCCCATTGTTGTACTTGTTAAGTGTATAAGCTCTAAAAATTGCTATGAAAACTGATTTCAAAATAATTGGCTATATACTCCTGGTAGAGTGTATTTTTAAAACATTAGTGTTCATAAGCAGTATTTAGTAAAGACTTTTGAAATCAAATAACCAACTATATCTTGATTTTTTTAGGGGGGGTTGGTATTTTTTGGTATTTTTGAGACAGGGGCTCCCTGTAGCACCAGCTGGCCTGGAACTCGCTTTGTTGACCAGGCTGGCCTTGAACTACAAGAGGTCTGCCTGCTTCTGGCTCCCGAGTGCTGGGATTAAAGGCATGGGCCACTACACCCAGTCCAGTTATATCTTGTTTTGCTATAATTATGCAGAAATAATACAGTGGCTAAAAGTAATGGTTTTTTTTTTAAAACTCAGGTGGTCCTGATAGATGTGACCTGTATTTTACTATGGGTTTCATGTGTTTTAGCTGGTGCAAATCATCATAAACACAACACACCTGGAACAAGCTTGCAAATACCTTGAGGACTTCATAACTAACATCACAAATATATCTCAAGAAACTGTTCATACCACAAGACTTTATGGACTTTCTACTTTTAAGGTATATAAAAATCTGACCAAAATGTTTCATTGCAATTATTATAAGCAAACTTTAAAACATTAAAGATAATTTTTAATTATATGTGATTCTATTATCCTAACCATCGAGAATTAGAGATAATCATTGCTCATAATGGTAATTGGTTGTCAGTTCCTTTTTTGTGTTTTAAATACCTTGTTAAATATTGATTTTCTGTAATATAGTAGTTTGTTCATATTTTGACAACAAACTACCAGTAGTGCTGAACTGGACTGAGTTTCTAGTCATGTTACATGGTTCAATAATTTTATATGCTTGTGAGTGGGAATTAAAAATCTGAGATGAATGAAATAATTGTGAAATTTGCTTCTATCTTTTATTGACTCTGAAGAAAAAGAAATATTAGTTCATGTCATTTAAGTCTTCCTTTTGTCTGAATGAAAAGATTTCTGTTTGTATAAGACTGGAATATACTGAAGAATGGTGTTTTTAAACAATACAAGATTAAAAAATAATTTTATTTTTCTTTTAAGAACTGTTTTCTTATTAACTTGGAATAAAAAAATGAGATATTGTCTGTGTTAGCTTTTTTGCTGTGATAAATTCCTGAGAGACATGTTTAAGAGGAGGAAAGATTTCTTTTTGGCTTACAGTTTCAGAGGTCAGTCCCAGGTTCCTTGACCCTATTGCTCTCAGTCTAAGATGAGGCCAGACTTCAGGGTGGAGAGCACATGCTGGAGCAAAGGGACTCACCTAATAGCAGCTAGAGAGCAGAGGATGAGACTGTGCTGAGGCTTCTTCCTCCTTCTACTCTTGTCCTGTCTGTGCCTCCAGCCTCTTGACAGTGCCCACCAGCCACACTTAGGTCAGTTCTCCTGCTCAGTTGCTATACGGCATGCCAGTTGTCTCTGAAAAATCCTCCTAGGCATCTTTTCATCTAATCAGATTGACGAGCTTAACCATCACAGGGGTGTGATCATTAAACTAGTGGTAATGCACCGATTCTTTGCCTGTAAAATGAGCTTGCTAGTTTGCCTCATAGCCATTTCTAAAAATTTTTTATTAAGGGGCTGGAGAGATGGCTCAGCTGTTAAGAGAACTGGCTGCTCTTGCAGAGGACTTGGGTTTGGCTCCCAGTTCCCAGATAGTGGCTAACAACTATCCATAACTCCAGTTCCAAGGGATCTGACCCTGTCTTCTGAACTCCTCGGGCATTTACATACATACAGGCAAAAAACACTCATCGTATACATAAAAAATAAAATAAAAATAATTAATTTTTAATTTAAAAAATTCATATCATATTTTTGATATATTATAGATTACCCAATTTACTTGCTAAAAATATGTTGTAATAATTTACATTTTAAAATTTTATTTTGCTTATATTTAGAAATAAGTGACTTAATGCTTACACCCAGAGTTTGAAATTCTGAAATTCAGAAACAGCCCTGGGTTCCTAAAATAGTATGCTTATTCTCTAAACCTTCTGCTACTCTCGTGACCATTCATTCATTCATTCATTCACTCAATTTTATGTGTATGAATATTTTGTCTGCATCTATGTAAGTGCACCACATGCCAGAAGAGAGCATCAGATGCCCTAGAACTGGAGTTAAGAACAGTTGTTGGTCACAGTGTGGGTGCTAGGAACCGAATCTTGGTCCTTTGCCAGAGCAGCCAGTGCTATTAACCACTGAGCCATCTCTCCAGCCCTACTCTAGTAACCCTGGAGCTTATATAATTATCCTGATAACGTGCAACCCAAAGAATGCTATATTTAAGTCATTGGACTTAAAAAACATAGATATTAAAACTAAAACAGAAGCCTATAAAGGAAGTCATTCACTTACTTAGTATTATAGTAGGATGGTTAAGGTACTACTCTGGAGTTAGGCCACCATTGGACTTGAGAAGGTTTCTATTTATTTTGTTTTAAAATAATGATTACAAGTCCTTCCCCCCTTTCTTCCCTTCCTGCTTGCTTCCTTCCCTTCCTTCTTCCTTTTTTCTTTGTGTTTTTTTTTTGTTTGTTTGTTTGTTTGTTTTAAATAGGGTCTTGTATATCCTGGGCTAGACTCAGACTTGTGATCTTCCTGCTTCAGTCTGGGATTTAGTCCCAAATTCTGGGATTATAGGCATGACCCTCCATGCCTGGACCACAGATTATTTCATCTGTGAGATTAGATGCTACTTGGGGGCTGGAGAGATGGCTCAGTGGTTAAGAGGACTGGCTGGTCTTGCAGAGGACCCAGGTTCGATTCCCAGGACCCACATAGTGGCTAACAACTGTCCATTAACTCCAGTTCCAGGGAATTTGACACCCTCTTCTGACCTCTCTGCACCACACTGGTGTACTTACATGCATGCAGGCAATATGTTCATATGCATAAAATAAAAATAATAAAATATATTTTTTAAAAAGATTAGATACTACCTTATATAATGTCATTATGAGGATTAAATTAGTACAGAGCAACTTGTTGTATGTCAGTTATTTGCTGAGAACTCTATTAGTCCTTGAGGATATAAATAGCTATCTTCCTTCAAGTTTATGGGAGAAAAAATTGTAAAGACATTTAACACTATTTAAGTTGTTTAGGAGGACACTGCAATGTTATTCTAAGACAAATTGATCTTTAGCTTTTAAAAAAATATTTATTCTCATTCTGTGTGTGTGTGTATGTGTGTGTGCATGTGTGTGTGTGTGTGTGTGTGTGTGTGTGTGTGTGTGTACATGCCTGCACATGCTCCACAGTGATGGGGTAGGTCAGAGGACAACTTGTGGGAGTTGACTCTTTGCTTCTACCATATGGGTTCTGGAGTTTGATTTCAGGTTGTCAGCTTGTCAACAAGCTCCTTTCTCACTGACCCATCTTACCAGCTCTGATCTTTGGCTTTTATATTAGATTTCTTATAGTATTTCTACTTTATTCCTCTCCCTGTCCTTATACTCATATATTACTCATAAGAGGTAATTCACTAAAAGTTAGAGTTATAAACATACTTAACTTTCAACTTTAAATTCACCTGTTTACTTAGTACTTTCTGATTAAAACGAATTACTGTGATATCTGGTATTCCTTGGGATCTTCAGTTTCTATCAGTTCTTAGTGAAAGAACCCAAGGTGCTGGAACATGATGCTCTTAGATATGGAGATCTTGGAGCTGTGTTCCTGAGAATCTGCCTGTATATGCACAGATGAAGCAGCTGGAACCTTGTTACTGCTGGTTTCCTGGAAGTCGGGAAGTAGTGTTTCTACAAAAGGCAAAGTGTCCTTTGGTCTTGTTCCTTTTTTTGCAAGAGAGGGTTTAAACTTGGGGCCTTGTGCTGCTAGGCCAGCATTCTGCCACTGCACTGCCTTCCCAGCACTTTTGTTTTCATAGAGAACATAGTGAATCCCTTTCTGTTTAGCAATAATTTCTAGCTCATTATTTGAAGATTAAGTATTCTTTAGTTCTCCCTTTCTGATCTACCTGAAGAGACATTTGTCTTTAAACTGTGATAGGAGGAAGCATTTTGACTGGAAGAATTGTTAAATCAGTATTAAAGTGAGTTACTAAGACATTGGGGATTTCTAGTTATAGTGACGTTATTCTGTTGCCTGTTTCACAGATGTGAAATACAGTTTTGACTACACAGACATTAGGTTGAATTGTGTAAACTCAGCCTAATCCTTTTCAGCCCAGTGACTCTACAAAAAATATATTCCTATTTAGTTGTTTAATAACTATGGAAATAAGCACTTTAATGATCTCTTTACCTGTATTTCTCTTCTAAAATGCATGTAGACACACACAAAATGCCTGATCTATGCCACACATATTTACCTAATAAACAATCTTACTAGCTTGCTTTTAAAAAACTTTGCTCAATCTGTATGTGATATGTGAGTTTAGTTGTGTTTTTCCTGCCCTCAGTCAGTCCTTCAACTTTTTGAAATTAATTCGGATCCACAGAGAGAGCTGTTTAAAACTACTATAAGACCTCTTACAGAAGAAATTTTGCATCAAGGAAGAGAGGAAAATGGGAATATCATACCCTTTTTAATCTACACGGTAGAGAAATATTCCAATTCTCTCTCTCTCTCTCTCTCTCTCTCTCTCTCTCTCTCTCTCTCTCTCTCTCTCATATCAGGGATCTGTAACTTAACTCCATGTAACTTAACTCCAGCTGCCACTCTGAAGAGTTCTTTCTTTTTGAGCCTTTGTAGTAATTGTGCCTGTAAGTCCATCACAATAATATAGTCTATTGAAAAAATATAGTCCAGAAAGATGGCTCAATGAGTAAAGTTTTTGCTACCAAGTGTGAGGACCTTATCTCAGATTCCCCAGATCTCTAGAAAAACTGGGTACAGTAGTGTGTGTCTGTAATCCCAGTGCGCCTACAGAGAGGTGGGTGAACAGAAGAATCCTCAGAAGCTCAGGCCAGCCTTGCCTTTCATCCTGTTTGACACAGGGCCTCTTTGGTTGCTTGCTGCTATATATACCAGGCTAGCTTTCTCTGCCTTCCATCTCATGGTAGGAGCTCTGGGATTATAGACATATGCTGCTATTCCCAGATTTATGGGGGTTCTGAGGATTTGAACTTAGGCCCTCATGCTTATTCAGCAAGCACTTTACTCCCTGAGTCATCCCTCCGGCCCTTAAGATATTTTATTTCTTAAATTGGCTTCTCTTCCTGTTCATCTCATTATCACACTCCTTCTCTCATCCTAACTAAATACCAGGCTTCATTGTGAAGTCTTAACCTATTTTTCCCCTCTTGGCTTAAGCATCAGCTGATAATGAATTAGATGCTATATGCAGTGTAATTCAAATTTAGAAAGTCCTGATTCCAAATCACATGGTTGGTGCATTGTTTCTTGAATTAGAATGAGTAGGAAAAAATTATCTAAGGACACTTTTGTTGTGATAGTTTCAGTCTTATCTCCTACTTATATTTTTAAGGTCTCCAAAAGAGCATAGAAGTATTCCCTTTGCTCGAAATGAGTAAAATGAAATTAACTTTTTGTCCCTAA